GCAGCCAGAGGTGCCTCTGGTCCAACAACCACGAATTCAATTTTCTCATCTTTGCAGAACTGAGCAAGAGCATTGTAGTCATTGATGGAAATGGCTGTGAACAGAAAAAAAAACAACAAACCCACCTCACTTACAAAAATATTCTTTAAGTTAACAAGTGTCATACTGAAAACTAAGTGCTATACTTTGTTATGCCTATTAACTGTTGGTTTTCTTTTACTGGTACAAACCAGTTTCACCAGGAGAAAGTCAGAGTAGAGAGCACTAAGCTAACCAATAAAGCTCAGATCTCTGCCATGGCTACAGCCACTTAGATGAAAACACCAGTAAGCTTCCCAAAGAGCTAGAGTACCTTCTGCACTATGGTGTTCACGCCACTAGTGTTGACGGCATAGTAAACAAAAATGTGTATTCAGAAACCGGTCTTTTAATGTCATTCCTTCAAGATTTACTGAGAGCCACTATGCATTAGATACTGTTCTAGTCACTGCATTAAGATGTTAACACAAACAGGGTCCCTACACTTAGGATGCTTATATTCTACTGTAGGAATGTTGGGTAATACATAAGGAAAAAACCCAACCGCGAACAAATTAGGCAAATTTGATTTAAGGTGAAGTGGGAGGCTATTTCTGGTTGAGTCAGGAAGGGTCTCTTTGTGCAGAGATGTTTAAGCTAAGAACTCAATGATCTGCGCATTTCTCCAACCTACAAGCCAGGTAAATTTTCTTTCTTGATGGAGTTCTAAGTCAGTAGGATACCATCTACTAAGCATGCGTTGATTCTACAGGCGCTCTCCTGCTTCACTGTATCTGGATCCCCTTTCTTAAGTTAGCTGAAGGCTCCAATTACTCTGCACATATATGATATTTGTGATGTGTCGGGGGTAAGTGCAGAGAGGGTAGTTCTGTCTAGAGGAACTGCCCTAGTGGGATAAGGATGGAGCACAACACACTCTGCGTGAGTAGCTGCAAATACACATGGGCTGAGCAGAGCCAACTACGTCAGCACAGCAGAGGGTGGCATGCGGAAGAGGACACACCTAACTTGTCTCTGCAAGTGATAGCAGCCTCAGGACAATCCTGGGAGATTTTTATTCATGGGCTCGCCTGCATGACATCAACTGCTCCTAGACAAAATGTGCTAGTTCCTCGATAAACATACAATATCTCACTCCCGAACTAAGATTCCAGGGAAGCAGATATTTTATTTATCTTTTTCTTCTTATTCTTATTTTTGGTCCTGTGTATGCTATTATCTTCTCCCAGTTTGTGGCTTGTTGGGTGGTCGTCTTCTCTCCAATACATACTATGTGCCACATGGGGTACTAAGCACAGGGCACACGGAACAGCTGAATTCCTTGCCCTGATGTAGCTTATATTCTAGAGCTTATGTTCTAGGGGCAAAATGAAGGTAGGAGACAGAAAATAGAAAAGTAAAAAATAAATACAGATAATGGTTCATAATCAAAAGGTGAGGTGGCCATGCTTTACTCAGAAACTTTTGGAAAGACCTCTTTGAGGAGGTAATATATAAGCTGAGATCTGAAATAATGAGGAGCCCCTCATGCTAGGGGTGGGGACAAATACAAAGGCCAAGGCAGCTGTTTGGGAAACTGGCCTGCATGGCTTGAGCACAGTGAAAAGAAAACAAAGGATGTAAAAGATGAGCCTGGAAAGCAGGCAGAGGCCAGATCCCTAAGAGCTTTATAAGGAACACTAAGGAGTCTTGAGTTCTATTCTAAGTGCTGCAGGAAGCCACTGAAGAGTTTCCCATAGCATAAGAACGGATCATTTCTTCTTTTTTACGAGTTGAAGAGATAAAGGCTGAGATCCATTATGGAGTTAGAACTGCCAGGACCTACATTTAATAGCACTGCTCAACTTTCCATGTCCCAAACTACACATTAAAATGCCTTTAACCTACACTGGGCACTTGCAACTTTTTTAATAGATGTGTTTTATAAGGTTTAAAAGAATTGAAGATAAGGAAATGCTGTACTCTGAACAATGGTACACCTTAAATTTACAATATATGGCAAACATTCAGATTACCACATAAACTTTAAGGTTAAGAAAAGTATTCAAATCTGAGTAGCAACTGGCCTTATAAAAAACAGTTGCAGTTGACAGTTTATCATTTATATTTAACTATCACTCCCCACTTTAAAACATGATTACCAGCATTCGAAATCTTTTCAGAGCAGGCAGTGCCTGCATTTCCTGGGGCAACCAACACCTGTTTGACATGATTAGACTGTGCAAGTTTCCAGGCCNCCTGTTATCTCCACACCCTTGGTGTAGTCTCCTGGATAACCTTTACTTGCCATGACAACAGTTATGGCAGTGTGGTTTTCAAGCCAAAGAGGCAGAGAGGTACACAGCAGGCCATCTAGGGTAGACTGAATCACTTCGTAAAGATCACTTTTAAGAAGTGGGAGGAGCACCTGGAAAAACATAATCAACATGGAAATTGAGAACATTTTAATCACTGGGATGCCAGCAAAACTTGCATGTACCGTTGACCCATAAACAACGTAAGGGTAGAGGCACTGAGAAACCCTGTGCAGTTGGAAAATCTGCGTATAACTTTTCACTCCCTAAAAACTTAACTACAGTCGTCCACCGGTATCTGTGAGGGATTTGTTCTAGGCACCCCCCCCCCCATACCAAAATCTGCAGATGCACAAGTCCCTTATATCAAATGGCGCAGAATGCAGATAGTGGCCCTCCGAATCTGTGGATTCTCAACTGCCAATTTGCCGTTGGCTGAATCCAAAGAGGTGAAACTCAGGGACAGGGAGGGCTGACTGTATATATATATTTAAAAAATTCATGTATAAGTAGGCCCACAGTTTGAGCCCGCGTTCTTCAAGGGTTAACTATATTTCTCAAAGGTAATTATTCCAAGGTTGATCAATCCTGAGATTAAAACAATATACATCTTCTGCAAAGTAACACTTATTATCCACCTGGCACTCCGGATCACCGAAACGGCAATTAAACTCCAGGACTTTTGGGCCATCCTTAGTCAGCATTATACCAGCATAGAGAACACCTTCATTAAAAACAGAAAACAAAACAAAAAATAATGAGGACATTGTATAGTCACTATGAAAATTAGAACATAAACTTCTAATACTCAAAGTTTTGGAATAGCCATAACAAGTGTTACAACAATGGTCAATTCAAAGGTAGTGAAAAAAAGAGAAAATAGGGAAGTTTTGCCAAAGGTGTAAAGTTACTCCATGAATAATAAATACAATGACACCAATGTGCTTACCTGTGTATGGCATACCCTCCTGCTGCATGCCATCCACTGTCCGCTGAAGAATGGTATTTTTAATTTTTAGCAACAAATCCTTAGGAACCTGGGACATATAGAAATATGTAAATGCAACTGGTATTTGAGAAAAATCATCTTGTAAGTAGTACTGCATGAGACAATTAAAGGGGGCAAGAAAAAATATCACTTATTTACTATCTGAGATGGGCTGAACACTTTAAATTCATAAACTTTTTAAATACTCACATTGGCCCTATCAAGTAGGTATTTAGCCTCATTCTTATAAAATAGGAAAGATGACCTGAGAGTTAAAAATTACCCTAAGCAGAAGCTGCATTATGTATTTATTGATCAGCATCACTTGCCATTTCATAACTGACTGTTAAATCGCCTTTTACTACTAAACCTAAAGACTTTCAAATATATACATGCTTAACGCTCAGCTAAAAACAGTGCCCTGAAACATAATAATAAAAACGAAACAAGTCCTCTCCCAACTTGAGGCTCCTTTGTATCCTTTTAGTATATTCAATGCATATTTTATAAACCTATAAACTTAAGAATATGAGTTTATAAAATTGTAAAAATTAGACCTAGAGATAGTTCTTACATTAAAACCACCTTTTACCAAATGGTAGTTTTAATACTTACAAAGCCTAAGATATCTGAAGAAATCCACTTGAGATCTAATTAGTAAAGATATATGCATCCGCTTGTTCACGGAAGCATTATTTACAAGAGCCAAGATATGGAACTTAAGTGTTCACTGATAGGGGACTGGATGAAGATGATGTGGTACATATAATAATGGAATACTACTCGGCCATAAAAAAGAATGAAATCTTACCATTTGCGACAACATGGGTGGGCCTAGAGGGTATTATGTAAGTAAAATAAATTAGAGAAAGGCAAATACCATATGATTTCACTTATATGTGAAATATAAAGAACAAAATAAATGAACAAACAAACGGAAATAAACTCATAGATACAGAGAACATTTTGATGGTTGACAGATGGGAGAGGGGCTGGGAGCAGGGTGAAAAGGCAAAGGGATTAAGAAGTACAAATTGGTAGTTACAAAATAGTCATGGGGATGTAAAGCATACGAAATATAGTCAATAATACTATGACAACTGGTGTCAGGTGGGTACTAGACTTATGGGGGGATCACTTTGCAAGTTATATAAATGTCTAATCAGTATGCTGTACACCTGAAACTAATACGACATTGAATGTCAACTGTAATTGAAAAAAAAATTTTTTTAATAAAAAAATAAAGCAAATCTTGTTTGGTTTTTAATCATTTAATCAAGAAAAAAATCTGAAAGTCACTATATTATTAGCACGGTTTGTGATTATCATCAGTGAAAAGAACGGGCAAGTTTCTGAAGTGCTAATGTACTTATAATACACTCAATGCAGATTTCTTATAAAAACTGTCCAGAAATTGTTTGGAAACAATACTCTATCTATTCATTATCAAGTAGAAAGACCAGAAGAACAAATTATTGTCTGACTGGGTTCTCAATTCCTCTCTCTCTCTCTCTCTCTCTCAGCACTTATGTGCTGGGTCCTGGATATCCAAAGATGAATAAAAGATAATTCTAGGCTATGATTAGGGTTAAAAATAGGGTATAGAGAGGAGGGTCCAGGGGATCAATTCTTTTTTTTTTTTTTTAAAGATTTTTATTGGGGAATTGGGGAGATGGGAACAGTGTTGGGGAATTGGGGGAAGGGGAACAGACAAGTTGCTGTCCTTTTGTTCTTCAGTCTAGTTG